TGTACTCTTACACGTCTGCATAATTTGCATTCACATTTTCCTAATTATATTATTCCAACAATTATTCCGTCTTGCAGATTTTGCATTCACATTTTTAGCGTGAGTTCAATTTATTTTTAAAATACCTCCCTTGGCAAAATTACTAAACAGTTTAATTAGATTTTTCTAAACTACAGTTATTATGTTATTAAAATGTATCCACTTTTTCTAGGAATATTAACGAAAACGATATTTGACATTGATCTTTTTAATATGTTTTAGCAATGTGCGTGTATTTAATATTCTCTTTACGTTATGCAAAATTGTACAAACAGTGAAAATTATAAAATAGCTCTATGTCATTATATAAGCAAACCCAACTCTTTTACTTATAATAAGACACTGCGGTGCACTGAAAAGCACAGCATGGTGCGTAGTTTACCTTAATAGTCCCTAAATCTATAGCGATGACGGACGGAAGGACAGACACAGCCCGCTTATAGTATAGATTGTTCTATATCAAAACAGTTAATTAATGCTAGTAACCAAGGTGACTAATTCCTCAGTTGAAATGTAAGCTTGATTTGTTTGTATTTTTTTTTTTGGTCTTTTGGCTTGTAGTAGAATTTCAAGTGATATTTCCTTGAATATGAAAGTCGGGTAGTGTCTTATTTATATTGTTTTCTTTGTTTTAATACATGTAAACCAATGTGACGTCAAATTAATGTAAATAAATGTATTGAAATGTGGGTTAACAAGTTTCATTTTTAGTCTAATATTAGTGTTAATTGTGAAATTGGTTTGCAAAGTCCTTTTGTACGTACGTACGGCGGGTGTTCCATTGTCCGGGATAGAAATCGAAACGCGCGCACCGATTATATTCATTTCCGCACACTTGAAGATTATATTCATTTTCGCACACTTGAAGATTATATTCATTTCCGCACACTTGAAGATTATATTCATTTCCGTACACTTGAAGATTATATTCATTTCCGCATACTTGAAGATTATATTCTTTTCCGCACACTTGAAGATTATATTCATTTCCGTACACTTGAAGATTATATTCATTTCCGCACACTTGAAGATTATAACAAAAGGAAGGTCGTCGCGCACTTTCTGGTTAAACTGCATGCACATCAAAATTGTTTTAAATTTTTTAAATATTTGTATAGGCCATATAGGTGACCCCTTCTTTCCGTCATTTACTTGGATGAGTTTTTACTATTGGTGCGCTGCATTCAACACTGTTAGAAGGTGCGACACATTAAATAAAGCCTGTGTTTATTTTTGTTTAGTATTTATCCTTCTGAAATTAAATTTGGGCTCAAGTAGATTATTTCTTATTTTCTAAAAAAAAAAAAAAAAAAAAAAAAAAAAAAAAAAAAAAAAAAAAAAAAAACTACACCAAAAGCATAATAACAGGTATGTTTCAGTAATAGCTATGGGAAAGGGACAGCGATAGGAGAAAATGAAATTGTATAGGGAAATAAGTAGGGGAATCTAAAGGGCTAACTATATGGAAAATAAAATGGAATATGGACAGAAATAGGGAAATTGATAGTTTTAAAATAGGGATAATGATAAGGATAAGGATAGCTACAGTTAAATATAAGGGATCGCGAAAGGGAAAATGAAATGGGACAGAGATAGGAAAAAGGATGTGTTTATGATAGGGATAGCAATAAAAATTAGGCATTAGTATAAGGATAAAGATAAGGATGGGGATAGAGGTAGAGATTTAAATAATTATAGGGATAGTTATATGGATGTGGGTTTGGGTAGGAATAGTGTCTGTTTATAATTGGGTTTAGGTATAAGCTTGCATTTGTGGTTAACGTTAATTTTATGTACATATTTTAAGTGTCCATACTTACATATAGATATTTAATTGAAAATTATATTTCCCAAAATTCATGCAGTGCCGGGTAAATGCTGCTAGTGGATATTATAGACACTAACATTACCGCCTAATGTATTGTCTAATATTAGAAATTTATGTGCAAGAAACAAATGGCAAATTAGAATACCATAATAACTCCGAAGCAGAATAAATACCATTGTAATAAATTTTAAAAATATTAAAATAAGACAAATTGTCATAAAATGATTTAAAATATAAACAAGTAAAGTAAACGCTTATTAAAATAAACTAAGGTTCCGCTGCTTATTTAGTTCTAGGTGAAACGACTAAGTGTGAGCAATGGGTGCCGGTCTAGCTTGAAGTGGTTAAAATTTCGGTTTAGAAAATTGATATTGGTCTGTATTGTATAGATCTAGGTTTAGAAAATTGATATTGGTCTGTATTGTATAGATCTAAGTTTAGAAAATTGATATTGGTCTGTATTATATAGATCTAAGTTTAGAAAATTGATATTGGTCTGTATTGTATAGATCTAAGTTTAGAAAATTGATATTGGTCTGTATTGTATAGATCTAGGTTTAGAAAATTGATATTGGTCTGTATTGTATTGATCTAAGTTTAGAAAATTGATATTGGTCTGTATTGTATAGATCTAAGTTTAGAAAATTGATATTGGTCTGTATTGTATAGATCTAGGTTTAGAAAATTGATATTGGTCTGTATTGTATTGATCTAAGTTTAGAAAATTGATATTGGTCTGTAATGTATAGATCTAGGTTTAGCGTCTAAATGTAGAAACCAGGTCTTGGTTGTAGATTTAGGTTTAGCCTTAGTCTGTTTATCTACAATATAAAAATGTGGCTTTTTGCGGCAAAATTTAGGTGTAAAATTTAAGACTATATTGAGTATTAATGTGCATTAGCTAAGGGTAGGTCTCGGTTACGAGATTAAGTAATATAGAGGTCTAAATTTAGCGTCTATAAACACAAAGAATGACTTCAATGATTGCAGAGTAAAATAAATCGGGAGCGATCTCCCCTAAACTTTCTCGAATATTCTTTTATTAAAAATCAGGGGATGGGAACTCGGGATATAGACATGAACTTTAATCCATTTTAAATACTTAAACTTTTTAAAATAGAATAAAATCTCGTAGAAAAATGAATTGCACACATGTGAACGCCAAAAAAACGTGCATAATAGTGCGGAATACTAATTAATTTACATTCGTTTTTTGAGAAATCGGAAATAGCGTAAATTAGTACTTCCAATCAACGGAAATTACTCAAAATTTGACAGAAGGTAGAGAGTTTAGATCTTTTACTTACATGTGAAATTTCATTTATCTATCTGAAATAGATCTGAAACAGACAGACACACACAAACAACGGACAGAATTGCAAAGTCCAGTTTTTACGACTCGATAACGCATAAAACGCCAAAATGTTAATATATTTGTATTTATAATTTTTGCCTGATTAAAATAAGTCCTCTATACTCCGGATGTGATGAAGGACTGAAGAGTAAAACGGTGAAAACTGTCAAAATTTCATGTTATTTTTGTGCACGATTACAATACTTTCTCTATACTTCGTATATACGAGAAAGTAAAAATATAATAAAAAATTGAATGCCGAAAAGGATATACGAAGTTAATGACGTCATTGATAATAGAGACTTAAAATATAGTTAAAAATCGAATGCCGAAAAGGATATACTAAGTTAATGAAGTCATTGGTAATAATGACATAAAATATAGCTTACAGCCTAATTTATTAAAATACTCCTTAACTCCTTTCAAACAGAATTTCAACCCCTTCCCTCTTCTCCTCTTAATTATGATCTAATCCCCCACCCTCACTCTCTCCTCTATAAATCTAATACTCATCCGTCCTTTTCTACATGATCTAACCCTTCTCTCTACTTCTTTCAGGGTTTATGTTTATTGTTGAGCATTATTACTTTCTCGTATATACGAAGTATAGAGAAAGTCTTGTAATCGTGCAAAAAAAAAATAATCGAGATTTTTACAAATCTCGACGTTTTACACCTCACTGATACGGAAAAACATAATTTTGCAATCTTGTCCGTATGTCTGTGTGTCTGTCTGTCTGTCTGTCCGTGTGTAAACACGATAACTTGAGTACCGTTACAGCTAGGTTGATGAAATTTCATATATAAGTATTTTATCAAAATCGTAGATCCGTATCAACTTTTGAGCGATTTCCGATAACCGGAAGTGGTACTTTTCCTACTTTGAATTTTTCAAAAGCCTATAACTTGAGTACTATTTTAGATAGATAAATGAAATTTCACATGTAAGTAAAAGATCTAATTCTCTACCTTCTATTAAATTTTGAGTAATTTCCGTTGACCGGAAGTAGTAATTTACGCTACTTCCGATTTCTCAAAAAACTCATGTAAATTTTAAAAGTACTAATAATATTGCGCACTATTATGCGCTTTTTTATTTGGCGTTCACTTGGTGTGCAATTAATTTGTCTACGAGATTTTATTCTATTTTTAAAACTGTAAGTATTTAAAATGGATTAAAAATCATGTCTATAGCCCGAGTTCCCATCCCCTGTTATTTTATATAAGAATATTCGAGAAAGTTTAGGGGAGATTACTCCCTGTTTATTTTTATGTTCATGTTTGTGTTTATGTTTAAAGTTGAAGTTGTGGTGAAGGTTGACTTATGGTTATGTTCATGTTTGATGTTGTGTTTGTGTTTATATTTATATTGGTCGTTGCCAATGGGCATTTCTGCAAGTAATTCTAAACTTGTAAATAAAGGGAAAAGTTGAATCTCCGACATACTGCCTCTAAAAAATTAGTTCGGTAATGTTTTTATTCGAATAATGTAGTATGTGTATAATTTAAACAATAATAAAAATTAGGCATAATTAAGTATACGGGATTAAAATTTACCCTTTCATTATACCGATTCAATTTTATTAGCAGTTTTAATTGCGGAAAATACAATGTAGTTATTAAAGGTTTGAGCGAGACAAAAGCGTTATGACTCATTATGAGGTAACTACTTAGATCTTCTTGAACAATAATTTACTTAGATCTTGTTAAAAGTGACGTCAGATAAAATCAGTTTAATAGTTTTTGTTATCTGTGATGTCGTTAACAGTCGATTACTTACCTGGCACGAATAACCTCTTATTCCCCTTTTCCTAACGCACTTAGCATTGATACTACACTTAGTACCATCAGGACAAACGTTCACGTCACTGGAGCAACCCATTTCTTGACTTCCGATATATCCCTTAAGACAAGCTCCACACAACTTGGAGCCCTACAAATAAGAAAAGTTCATTGTATACATCTAAAATTTATTTTTAGAAATTCTTGACGCACTCTTACACAAACACATTAGCAATAAACCGGGAGTGATCTCCCCAAAACTTTCTCGAATATTCTTATATAACTTGGAATATAGACATGATTTTTAATTACTTAAACTTTTAAAACTAGAATATAATCTCATAGAAAAAAGAATTGCGCACCAAGCGAACGCCAAAACAAAATGTGCATAATAGTGCGCAATATAATTAGTACTTTATAAATTTACACGCGTTTTTTTTAGAAATAGGAAATAGCGTAAATTAGTACTTCCGGTCAACGGAAATTACTCAAAATTTGAAAGAAGGTAGAGAATTAGATCTTTTACTTACATGTGAAATTTCATTTATCTATCCTAAATAGTACTCAAGTTATAGTCTTTTGAAAAATTCAAAGTAGAAAAAGTACCACTTCCGGTTATCGGAAATCGCTCAAAAGTTGATACGGATCTACGATTTTGATAAAATACATATATATGAAATTTTATCAAAATTATGTGAAAAAACGGCACTCGGTACTTAAGTTCCGTATGCATATTTAATTAAATATTTTAATTTTTTTTTAATAAAAGAAAAATATCCTTTTAAAAATATTATACTAACTGTTCGTTTTTAATTTATTGTACAAAATATTTAAGTCTCTTTTTAAAGTAAATATATTTTTACAAGCTTTTATTACAAGCTGGCTTTCTTTCTTTTGTCTGTCATGGATCGAAACTGGCGAGCGAAATTTCACCCACTTCGAACCTGCTTATTTCTATGAAACTTGACACGTGGTTCAAAACCCGACTTTACTAAACATTAGTAAAGGTATCCAATAGATACTAAAGTAACCCACGCTTTTCTTTATAGTTATTTAAATAGTAGTGTATAATTTATTTTTTACTTTTTAGTGCATTACTGCATAAAAGCTTTTATTGAAAACTTTAGGTTGTCCTCATTCTGTCTAGATCGAGCGAAATTTCGGGCACTTCTAACTGATTCGGTTCAACGTTGGCATTGGGTCAGAACATGAAGACAATGCACTCTGACATTAAATTTCACTTAATGGGGTAGGCTCCGGTTAAAATAAAAATAAAATTCTTTAATACTAGAGAGCAAACAATTTTTTTTCTATAGAGCTTTATATATGTATTTGTATTTTGATAACTATGACAACGGCGGCCATATCGAAAAATTAACCTCTTCGTAGGATTTCCACCATTCATAAAATATTACATTTTAAGCCCAATAAACAATGAATTCATAATCTTCTACCATATTTTGGGGTACTTAGCTAAAAATTTTAAGTGCAGATCTTCATACTTATTTCTTATGAATTTTCAAATAGTGGGACCGTCAAAAATACTAAAGTTAAGACCCCCCCCCCCCCCCGAAATACCTCAAAATTTAGTGTTTTTACCGGATTCAAATGTTGAATGAAAAAAAAAACACTCGACGTTTTATGTGTATGTGTGTATGATTGTGTGTATATGTGTGTCTGTGAACACGATAACTTGGGTACCGTTATTGGGCTGGTAAGTAGGTCACCAACCAGTTCTACGGCTCAATAAAACCTGCATGAGCCATAGAACTGGTTGGCAACCTACTTACCAGCCCTATAGCTAGGTTAATGAAAATGTATATATATAAGTATTATATCAAATTTTTAGTTCTGTGTCAACTTTGCAACGATTTTCGGTAGCCGGAAGTGGAGCTTATTTTTTCAAAAGCCTATCTTGAATACAGTTTTAGATAGATAAATGAAATTTCAAATGTAAGTAAAAGATCTAATTTTCCGCCTTCTTTTACCTTTTGAGTAATTACTGTTAACCGGAAGTAGTAAGTTACGCTATTTCTGATTTCTCGAAAAAAGCTTGTGAATTTATAAAGTACTAATAATATTCCGCACTATTATAAACATTTTGTTAGGCGATTACTTGATGCGCAATTCTTTCTTCTACGAGATTCTATTCTAAGTTTAAGTAATTAAAAATTGATTAAAATCATGTCTATATCCCGAGGTGCCATCCACCGTAGTGTTATATAAGAGTATTCGAGAAAGTTTAGGGGAGATCACTCCCGGTTTATTTAATCTAATATATAAAGCTCAATTCTATATGTAACACATGTTTGTCGTGGATCTTCGATGGATTTAAGTGTTAGATAATTAAAGTCCTTATGGTCTAAATTTATGAGTTAAAAAATTAATATTGAAAGTTTTGGGAAATAATTTTCATTTATCAAACAAACTGAAAGTAATAATTTTCGGCATGTTCATTAAACACAAGTTTAAAAAAAATATCATCTTTTACAAAAATTCTAATTATGTCTTTATTTAGTCCTATAGCACTTACTTCCCTTCGATAAATTAGGAAAACACAATTACTTCCCTTTATAAAACCATTGCATTAGTGGACAAGAATTTACTTTTTATTACTTTGTTTGGTGTTTGGAAAAAAAATAAATACATAATTAGCGGGGATTGATCAAGTGCAAATGTTGTAGGTATTTTACGGATAAGCTAGGAGTATTATAATTGTTCATTAAATTGAAACAGGCGCGTTCGTTTAAGTGAGTGCAAAAAGACTATGAATAAGTTGGGGTACTATAGTCGTTTATTAAGCTAAAACAGGCGATTCCGCCCCGGGCTAGACTGTGACCACTTTGCGTTTATGTTCGCGTTAGTGTTTTCTTTGTGTTTAGGTTGGGTTTGCGTTAGTGGTTGCGGTTTGATTTGGTTCGTTTTTGTTCTTTCTTTTTTCGTTTTTGTTTGTGTTTTTTTCTTTGGGTTTGTATTTGTGTTTTTGGTTGGTTTTGCGTTTGCATTTGGTTTGTTTTCGTTTGCTTTTTCGTTTTTTTTGGTGTTGTTATTGGTTGGTATTAGTGATTGTGGTTGTGGTTGGGTTTGTTGTTAGGTTTTTGTTTTCGTTTGCTTTTTTGTTTGTTTTTTCTTTGTGTTTGTATTGGTGTTTGTGGTTGTGGTTGGGTTTGTTGTTAGGTTTTTGTTTTCGTTTGTATTTGTAATTGTGTTAGCGTTATGTTTGCGTTTTGTTGTTTTGGTTTTGGTTGGTTGTGGTTTGGGTGGGCAATGCCGGGTTTATGATGATTACTAAACACACAGGTGATGGTCTTTAACAGAAAGGTTTTTCACAGAAGCCAGAGCAGGGCCTGGCCGGGACGGCCAGTATTTGACCTTTAAATCATATTTAAATAAAATTACATACCGGTGTATTAATGCACTGTGAGTTTTCTACACATCCACCGTTGTTACCATTCTCACACTCGTTCACATCTTCACATACCTAAAAATATAATTCATCACTTGAATCGGTTAGGCTATTTAATTAACAAAATGAAATACATCAAAATAAATCTTTTCCATTTAGGAAGTTGGGAGGGTTATGATATACCATGCGAAAGAAATTATTAGTTTAAATGTCAATTAACGAATTCTCTAGATTCATAACAATGTAACACTAATTTGTATGTAAATTTATATTTACCTGTTTTAAACTTCTGGCGGTATCTAACCCAATACCTTGCACTAGTGAGCTTGTGTATCCTGGGGGGCAAGGACCGCACCTAAAACCAGGCACTAGGTTCTCGCAAGATGCCATTTTGTCACATGGTTGACTTATTTCACACTAAGAATTACACACACGCATATATATATATATATATATATATATATATATATATATATATATATATATATATATATATATATATATATATATAATCTTAGTGTTAGAGTGTCGGGATTTTTTTTAACAGTTTTACAGCGTCTTAGATTGTGACCTAAAACTGAAATAGTTGTTTCAGGATCGATTAACACGGTATACCTTTTTGATCTGGAACCTACCTATAAACACCGTAGCAAACATGGACAAACAGCATTTCAAAGGGTTCACTGTTTGGGAAGCGGGTAGAGCAAACCTAAATAATATCTTTTTTTACAGAGCACAATTCTACTCTATTTCTAGGTTGTTTTATGATTATATTGAAATGTGCCCATTATAAATCGTTGATGATTATTCGGTTTTTAGAAAGTCTTAATCAAACAGTCATATTACCTTCTGTTTACTTTGACTACACGCTACATTTCCCCAACCATGGCATGGTATTTCCAGGCTTTTTTAGGTGAAGATTTGACTTTTTATTTAAACGTATATTTAAAAACTACTAGGCCCTGAAAAATGTGTGCTAAAACACACCTCATTTAAATCCTCGCATAAAGAACCATTTCCTGTTAGGCCAGTTGGACAAGGGCCGCATCTAAATCCGTGTGGAACGTCTTGACACTGGACCCCTGGGAAACAGGGTTTAGCTGCGCATGCTGAGGTCATTTGTTGACGGCAACCCCTCCTTGTTCCATCTCCAATGTACCCAGGCGGACAAGGTCCACAACGATAACCTCGTTCACTGTCAATACATCTTACATCTGGAATAATAAATGGATTCTCTAATTTTAACAGATTATTGTCGATAGATGCAGAGTAGGCCTATAGAAGAAGTATTGTAATCGTGCACAAAGATCACATGACAGCTTTCACCGTTTTACACCTCAGTATTATTTATTCTTAACTTGATTCCTTTGTTTTTAGTCCGTCATGGTCGGAAAATCGCGAGAAAAATTTTGAAAACTTCCACTGGACCGATTTATTTAAAACTTCTCACGTAGTTAAAAACTTGAAGTAAATGTTTTGTGAAGTAAAAGGTTACTTAATTAGATGATTAATTAACTCTTTAATTTAATAATTAATCAAGGTTTTCTTTATAAAGTACTAATGTTCCACACTATTATACCACACTATTACAACGCCTGCTTCCACCCCTCACCATGTTCACACTATTATACACATGGTTTGCTATTCATTTGTGCTCATTTTTTTCCCATGAGATTCTATTCTATTTGTTTTTATATTTTAAGTATTTAAAAAGTGATTAAAAATCATGTCTCTATCCCGAGTTTCCATCCCCATAGTGTTATTTAAGAACGGGAAAGTTTAGAAAGATCACTCCCGCTTTAAAAAAATGTAATAGTGAGTACAAAATGCATATGTGCACCAAATGAAAGTAAAAAAAGTGTGCATAACAGATAGAAAAATTAGTACTTTATATCAAAATATTATTTAAAAAAAAAAAAATTTAATACCTAATTAAATCATATTTTATGTGACCGTGCATTGACATCGGGTCTTGACCTACGTGAAAAGTTTTAAAGAAATCGGTCGGGTAGAAGTAATCTGTTTTTTAGAAATCGGAAATATTGCAAAGTAATACTTTCGTTTGCCGGAAATCATTTTAAAAATGAGAGAATCGAAGAAAACAAGATCTTACACCTACGTTTAAAATTTCGTCTAAATAACTAAAACACTAGGCCCTACTCAAGTTACCAGTATTTTAGAGCCAGTGTTTCTTCCCGACTTTTTTCTCCGGTGGAGAGGGAGGGGACACTGGTAAAGTAGATCTTTTCTTTATTGCAAGTCACACAAAAAATAAAGTAATCCAAGTATAAGATCTTACATGTATATAAACGAAATTTCATCTAAGTACAAGAAACAGTGCTCAAGTTTTGTCTTCACATGGAAATAGAGTAAAATACAATTTCCATTTATCAGAAATCCTTCAAAATTTGAGATACAATGTATACAATGTATTACTTATATGTGAACTTTCGTTCACCTAACTTAAACGGTACTCAAGTTATGGGCTTTCGAGAAAACAGACGTTGAGTAAATTCCACTTCCTTTTAGCGGAAATCGTTCAAAAATTGATGCAAAATTGGATATAATACGTATGCATGAAATTTCTTCAACATAACTGAAACGGTATTCAAGTTATCGTGTTCACAGACAGACAGACACACACACATACAGAGAGACACACGGATAGAATTGCAAAGCCCAGTTTTTCCGACTCTATTACGCTAAGACGCCGAAATTTTTAAAAATCTGAATTTTGAATTTTCGCCGGATTGAAATGCGTATATGATTAAGGTTACGTCATAGGATCACAACCTCCGCCCCCCCCCCCCACACACACACACCTGTTGGGATTTGTCAATTTAAATTTAAAAGACTTTTTAACTCTTAATCATCATTAAATGGAAAAGCATATTTCTTCTGCAGAAGTTGATTTTACTTTGGTCTCCCTAACTGTTGTCACCATGTATGTTCCGCACTCCTCCCAACCGCTGTGCCGTAAGAAATACTACAACTCCCTTCTTATTAGTAAGAAAAAAAGCCCACAGAAAATTATATACTAATCACATAACACACAAACTTGTTTGATGTAAACCCCGCCCCAAATTTTATGAAACTGTTATCGTATAACATTACTTCCCTATGGATGTTTCGGTTAGCGAAATTTTTTATATGGGCACATTTTTGTGAGCGATTTTTCTATGTTTGCAAGTTTTGGTTTTCGATTTATAGGCCTACTGCTAATCTATGCACAATTATCTGCTTGAGTACTTTACACTTTTGCGTATTGGTCTGTATGTGTAACATGAATTTTGTGCAAATTTCGTTTCGTGCACAATAAACTTGCAATTTTTTCTTTCTCGTAAACAGAGTAAAGAGGAGGTATTGTAATCGTGCAAAAAATTCACATGGAATTTTGTCAGTTTTCATCGTTATACACCTCAGTGTCATAGCGTAGACATATGGAATTAGACTAGACTAGTAGAGGTTACTAAGGACGGTGCGAACTTGACGGTAGACGATTTGGTGCGAGAATATTGTGCGCGTGTTCAATAAAATATTGTGGCGTGAGTATAACGTGAGTATGACGCGACAATGTACCGATGACGTAGACCGCAGTAGTGAAGTTAGTTGGGGGTTAGCCATAGTAGAAGACGGACGTATTTTGATATTGTGTAACAGATCTATAAGTGTGTGATAATAAAGTTAATGTTATTTCAGGAACGGAGCTGTTAATATAATTAATTACTGTCTACGGAAAAATAAAAGTGTTCCCGTCCTCCTTCACAAGTTTAATAGTTGCAGTGTTAATAGTAGTATTCAGAATATAGATACATAGACCAGAACTTATAGAGAATATATATAACCCCCCCCCCCCCCTCATCACACTCAGTACTTCATCATATACGCAGTTTAGGGGACTTATTTTAATCGGGCAAAAATAATAAATGCAGATTTATCAAAGCGTTCTATGCGTAACGGAGTCGTAAAAACTGGGATTTGCTATTCTGTCCGTGTGTGTGTGTGTGTGTGTGTGTGTGTCTGTGAACACGATAACTTGCGTACAGTTACAGCTAGGTTCAAGAAATTTCATATACAAGTATTATATCAAAATTGTAGTTCTATATTAACTTTTCAGCGATTTCCGGTAACCGCAAGTGGCACTTGTTTTACTTTTGATGTTAGCGAACGCACATAACTTGACTACTAGTACAGATAGATGAACGAAATTTCAAAATAAGTAAAATATCTCATTCTCTGCCTATTGTCAAATTCCGTTTACCTGAAGAAGTAATTTACGCTATTTCCGATTTCTCTAAAAACGCATTTGAATTTATAAGATATTAATAATATTCCGCATTATTATACACAGATTATTTGGCGTTCACTTGGTGCGCAATACTTTTTAACGAGATTCTATTCTATTTTAAAAAGTTTAAGTAATTAAAAATGGATTAAAAATCATGTCTATAATATATTCCGAGTTGCCATCCACCCTAGTGTTATATAAGAATAATCGAGAAAGTTAGAGGAGATCACTCCCGGTTTAATTTTTCAATGAACTTTTTTTACTTTCTCGTATATATACGAAGTATAGAGAAAGTCTTGTAATCGTGCAAAAAAAAAAAGAATCGAGATTTTTGCAAATCTCGAGATTTTACACTCACTGATACGGAAAAACATAATTTTGCAATCTTGTCCGTATGTCTGTGTGTCTGTAAACTCGATACCTTGAGTACCGTTACAGCTAGGTTGATGAAATTTCATATATAAGTATTTTATCAAAATCGTAGATCCGCATCAACTTTTGAGCGATTTCCGATAACCGGAAGTGTAACTTTTTTTACTTTGAATTTTTCAAAAGCCAATAACTTAAGTAATATTTTAGATAGATAAATGAAATTTCACATGTAAGTAACAGATCTAATTCTCTACCTTCTGTCAAATTTTGAAAAATTTCCGTTGACCGGAAGTACTAATTTACGCTATTTCCTATATCTCAAAAAAAAAAACGCGTGTAAATTTATGAAGTAGGGGCCTACTACTAATATTGCGCACTATTATGCACATTTTATTTGGCGTTCACTGGTGTGCAGTTCTTTTTTTCTAAGACATTTTATTCTATTTTAAAAAGTTTAAGTATTTAAAATGAATTTTAAATACATGAATATATCCCGAGTTCCCATCCCCTATTTTTTTATATAAGAATATTCGAGAAAGTTTAGGGGAGATCACTCCCGGTTTATAATTCATTTATCTAATAAATAGTAATCTCAAAATAGGGTTTTTTATTGTGTTTATCATTTGGCTTTTTACCTAACATAGATTTTTAAATACCTCTTACCTGGAAAACATGGATTGTCTGCGCATGTTGTAATTCGGGTGCAGGAAACACCGTCGCCATAATAACCAACTGGACAAGGTCCGCAACGGACGTTTCCTTCAGTTTCAATACATCTTACTCCTGAATAACAGGAAGTATTTGAACACCGAGACCTAGTTCTCGAAGTCGTGGTAGGTGGATTAATTTCATTGCCTGTAAATATTTTATACATGTATATATATATATATAAATAAATAAATAAATAAATAAATAAATAATATATATATATATATATATATATATATATATATATATATATATATATATATATATATATATATATATATATATATCTTGAACCTTCACCCGGTGATAGTTGACGGGAAGGAGTAATGTCATTCTACAGTGCCCATTGTGTAACGTTTCGGTTTTAAAAATAACTTTGCAATGCCCTATTTAGATGGCAATACCATAGTATCTCGGAAAACGCCCACCAAACGCACAAATGGACTTCATGGCTTATTTGTGACGTATTCATTTGTTTATATCAGCCATTAATCAAGAAATTAATTATTAGCTATTTGTAATTGATTTTTACAGCTATTTGAAAACAGTTTAGTATAATTTCAAAGGAATTTTTTTATCCAAATGTTTTCTTCGATTATTTTTTGTGTGTAGTCGAAGAACGGAGTGGGGGGGGGGGGGGGATTACAAATTTAAATTCTTGACTCAGTCGCGTCCCTTCTTTAATAAGTAAACTTGAGCAGTTGAAGAGGTCAATTTTTAAACCCGTAATAAGACATTTCTAATAATTGGGTATTTATCCAGGTACCTACGACAGGAGTCCTATCTCTTTTCCAAATATCAAGTTTGTGTCGCACAAGGCCATGGTCAGTCTAGGTCAGTGGCGTAGCTAGGATTTTCGGGCCCCTATGCAAAAATTAACAGTGGGACCCTTTGTCAGCTGTTAGGCTACAATGGCGTTAACGAAGGAATCAAATGTTACTTAAGATGGAGGGTTTTCAAAAATATAAATATTCTGTACATTATGTATTTTATACGTCTTGATTGTGTATTTCTACTATATTATTATGTAGGCCTACAACCCCGTAGTTATTTAAAATGTTACAGGCTTACAGTTAATTTTTTTTTAATTAGCCAAACACAGTAGTGTCACAAGGTGGGGCAGAGGTGCGGTCCACATCGGATGACATCATGACAAAACATTGTAAAATTTACTGTCAAAACTATGTTATATCCAGCTAAAAAAATAAAAGATAAGTCAGAGAGGGATGACACCCCACCGAAAGTGCACAGTTGTTGAGGGCTATGGGGTTACACCTTTGGTTTAAGCGTAGGGTAACACCCGACCTTGTGATGCCACTGACAAAACACAATTGTTTTTACATTTCTCGAGATTTATTTAGATATCTTTTTTCTGTTTTTAACTTTGAAAAATGATTAATAAGTTCCTTGAGGTCCATTTTAGCTGCTCCTGTATGTTAGATACTTAGAATGGCCACGTTACTGACCCAATGGGCATATCTACAATATATATATATATATATATATATATATATATATATATATATATATATATATATATATATATATATATATATCAATGTGTCGGTATGTCTGACTGTTTGTCTTCTATGCATTGCTACATCTTTCACCCGATCGCCATGAAACTTTGGGAAGTTGTTAAGAATAATTTTTGGGAGGTACCTGTGGGGAAAAAAATTTCAAATTCGCAGGGATGGCGCCCCTTCAGGGAGCAATTGGGTGCCCCGGGCTATCCCGTGTCCGCTATGGTGCCTGCATCATTTTAAACAGTGCGATAGAATAAGACTGGGCGTTCTTGTCGTTCAAGATGGTTGGGTTTATTCTACGCTTATTATTGTTAACCTAAAATATTTTATAAAGATATCGCTTATAATATTAAAACAAATTTAGAATTAATGTCGAAAAAAAAGCATACGGCTATTTCTGCAAATATCACAAGCCGTTAAAGCTTCCCTAAGACTGCGAGTCTCCTGTGTCTGTAATAAATTTAAAAAAAACATACATGGTGAGCGAATAATCTAACTCTAGACATGGGGGCTTTTTTGTGTTACCTGAGTACACATTAAAGGTTTTTTATTGATGTTAATTATATAGGTTGATAAATGGAAATGGTGATGCAGATTCACAGCCATATGAGATGCATTTACTTATTAAAGATGTGTACTTCAAATAATAAAACTTTATTTTATTTGCTTTTTGAAACACAGAGTGTAACATGTATTTGTTTTACTTTGCTTGAAATAAACTATCCAAAAAATCAATTGACTAGTTTAAAAGCTGTTTAATGTACAATCGGAAAATCCATGAAAAGACTTTTAGATTTACCTGCATTCTCATTTCTTGACGCATCTCAGATATTGCTCGAGTTAGTGCCACAATAACAGATTCAGTATTTGGCTGGTTGATAGTCTGTTCTGTTAAATGGATAGTTGGCACAAATACATTATTTAAAATTTAGGTGTAAAATATTACAACAAGAGCTCAAAGACTTAAAATCCTATAACTGAAATCATATATCGACGACCTTTTAATATTGGAAAACACAAACGCGTGTTTACGCCACAAGCACCCGCATATTTTCCCGGTGTGCTTCTATCACTATTTATTAAAATGTATTTGTGGAGGGATTGTTTAGGAGAGTTGTGAATGATTGTTTTAAAGAGTTGTGAAGGATTGTTTAGGAGAGTTGTTAGGGATTGTTCTAGCAGATTATTTAGGAGAAAGATGGATTGTTCTAGCAGATTGTAGAGGAGAAAGATGAAGAATAATCAGGAAGATAAATACTAAAACACAAAATATAAACATTCTTTATATAGAGTTTCATGGATACTGTATTACACCGCTTCTGAACGCACTGCGCAAATGCAAAATATAATGGGCGGAAAGGAAATGAGATCGCCTATTTGGCCTATAGAAATACTTGAAAAATTGAAAACAATTTAACCTTCACTGAATTTAGTTTCAAGTGCAAGCAAACACTCCCAGTTGTATAATGCACCAGTGTGACAAAAATGAACGCGATCCGTTCAGCCGTTAGGACTTCCATACAGTACAGGCAGACATACTTCGAGTTATATACATACAAGCCCCCCCCCCCCCCCCCAACCCCCCGAAGAGATGCCTGGAAAAAAAATTGGTTAGGATTAGAGTTAGTAATAGGGTCTTGATTAACGTTAGGGTTAAGAGTAGGTTAAGAGTTGGGGGTTAGGATTCATTGTGTTTAGGGTTAGGTTCAGGGTTCGTCAGCGTGCGGTGTATTGGGGGTTGGAAAAGACTGCGGGAAAATAACCGGGGGGGGGGGGGTAATTGACCCTAAAAAACGTTTTAATAACAAGATTTTATGTAACAATGCCCTTGTCGTAGATTTGTCTTTGTCCGTCATAGATCAAAACTACCGAGCGAAATTTCGAATACTTCTAACTCACCGATTCGTTTCAAGCTTGGCACACGGGTCATAACCCGCTGAGAATGCAATCTGACATCAAAATTTGACTTCATTGGAAATCACTCAAAATTGACAAAATGAAGCGATTAGTATACCTATTTATAAAATATCCTTAATCAAAAGGAAACTGTATTAATATTATCTATATTTTTGCATTCGAAAATGGAGTGTAATACCTTTTTCGGATATCGGAGGTTACTCCAAAATTGTGAGTCATCAAAGAACAAGATCTAATACTTGTATATACAATTTCGTCTAAATAATTGGAACACTACTCAAGTTGTTGTGTTCTCAAGGAAATAGAGCCACGTACCACTTCCGGTTACCGGAAATAGTACAATGGTTGAAAGAATCTTCGCAAATAATGTAATAATTATATTTTAATTTTGTCTACCTAGCTTTAACGGTAGGCCTACTCAAGTTATTGGTTTTTCAGCAACCGGAAGTAGAGTAAGTACCACTTCTGGTTACCCAAAACGTTTAAAAGTCGATGCAGAGCTACACATTTACTATAATACTTATATATGAAATATCGTCAATATACCTTACAAAGTACACAAGTTATCGTGTTTACAGACATATAGACAACAGACATACAGACAAAATGGAAAGTAAATTCTTCCGACTCCACTTCCGGTTACCGGAAACCGCTGAAAAGTTGATACAGAGCTACAAATTTTGATATAATACTTATATATGAAATTTCATCAACCTAGATGTAACGGTACTCAAGTTATCGTGTTTACAGACAAACACACACACACATACATACACACAGACATACGGAAAAGGATGCAAAATTATGTATTTCCGACTCAGGGAGGTGTAAAACGTCGAGATTTCTCGTATACGATAAAAAGTAAAAAAAAAGCGCGGGTCACTATATTGCGTATTGAATAGTTTAGTTCAAAATTTGTTAGATATTTAATTTTTTTTTAAATTTAATTAAAACTAGAAAAATTATTTCATTAAAAAAAGTTTATAAAATACATTTTAGTAATCAGGTTTTAAATATGTAGTAAAAGTTTTCAAAAATAAAATGATTTTCTTTAAATATTGATCAGTTTTCATAAAACTAACGAAAACATGTTTCGCTGTATTATATATTGTATAATTTTAGTCAAATATTCTGAACGACCCGCGCTTTTTGTACCTACATTAGACTTAAAGATATTTGTTAGTTTTTTTAAAGAATTCAAACTACTTTTTTTTAAAATTATAGTAAAAGTTTTTCATTAATGCTATTTGTTATTGCAGACTTATTTCATGGGTTACCTGCATCTTGTCTTGAGTTGTCCTTGTTTTGCATAGATAACCGATCCCCTGTATAACCCTCGACATCTCTGTTATTGTCTTTCTCGGTTACTAACGGTCCTCCTCGTTGAAGCTCGGCTTCAGTTTGCCTGACTAACTCGCGCTCCTTTTCAACCTGTTGTCTGGCACGCTCAAACTCAACCTGCTTTCTAAAACGCTCTAATTCGAATTCCTCTTGCTGTTTTTTTATGTCCTGCTTTACGCGTTCTGATTCCTCTTTTTCTCGCCTTTCGTTGTTTTCATTCAATTCGATATTTTCTTCAAATGCTTGTCTACTGTGAGTGGCCAAACTTTGTTTAGACCATTCCGGAATTTTCAGCGTTGGACTAGGTGTTGTCGTCTGTTCTTGTGTAGTTTGATAAGGGCAGCCAGTGAGTTTCAACATATCATGGAGAGATACTCCAGCATACCATTGAAATGATGATATTGTTTTCTAGAATATAAATGTAATATATATATATATATACATATGTGTGTGTATATATATATATATATATATATATATATATATACATATGTGTGTGTGTGTATATATATATATATATATATATATATATATATATATATATATATATATATATATATATTAAATACACGCAAATTGCTAAAACATATTAAACATTCTTAAACGTATCTATGTCAAATATCATTTTCGTTTAGATTCCTAGATTAAAGTGGATACATTTTAATAACAGTAGGGTAGAAAAATATAATTAATTAAACTGTTTTGTAATTTTGTCAAGTGAACTAATTTAAAAATAAATTCAACTCACGCTAATAATAAAATGTGAATACAACATCTACAAGAAGGAATTATTGTTGGAATAATATAATTAAGTCTTTATAGTTATTTAAATAGTAGTCTATAATTTATTTTCTCTTTTTAGTACATTAGTACATAAAAGCTTGATATTAAACGTTTGTTATGTAATTTTTTTTCCATCTTAGCCAAAACTTACAGAAAATACAGGACTCTAGCCTTCAACAATGTTATCAAGTTGATAGTGAATTTGCTCTTAAGCTCAAAATGCTACCTGCGTTGGCTTTTGTGCCCACTGAGCCAGTGGCGGAACTAGAAAAAACGAGCCCACCCGCGGCATATCATACGCCGCTATTTAGTTGTTTTATTTTCTACTTTTCAGTAATTCATAATTTGTGAATTCTACAGTACCAATGCTGCCACTGAAAATATTTGCTTTAAAACACTATCAGTAGGTCGTTAAGAACGATACTACCTCCACCCTCTTTTCCCCCAACCCCTACCCTACACCCACCCACCCACCACCCCCCACCCCCCGCGAAAGCAATCTCCTCTTATTTACCTCCCCTAAGTTTAAAATAGTTTCAAACTAAATTATCTGCCCCTAATAGCCGTCACTAAACCCGCTCTATGATTGTAAACATTTAGCGTGAACCAGTTTATGTTTGTGACAAGAACCTAAAAACAATGACGTCACGTGTTTAAACTACGGAAAGTACACAACACTAATGGCGTCATCTTACAATTTTAGAATATGTAGAAATGAACTATTTCATTTAAATTTGATTTAGATCAATAGATCTACATATCAGGACGTATGATATGAAATGTATAGTTTTCTCGGCCAAAACTAATACAAATTACTTTTTAAAAAAAGATAAATACAATTGAACAACCGTGATTTTAACTGAATCATTTAAGTCTCTTAATCAGTGTATGCATTTAATATGGTGTTGCGTTGACTAATAATATATAATATATAATCTAATTGGTTTTATTTTTTCTAATAGGTAGGCCCAATAGGTGGCCTATGTTATTTTTAATTTGTCGAGTTTTTAGCTATTTAGTTATTTCTTAGTCACTAATATGGTTTAACGAATAGTTAAAAAATATTGTGTTTTAGCCATAATAACTATTATAGAAATTATTTTTAAAAAACAAGTAAAACATTAAAAGGCCTATAATATATAGGCCTATAATTCACGTGAAGTAGGTACCCATGGCTAGTTTATAAGAACTAGTTACAGCAGTAATTTATTAAAGAATCCATTTATTGTTATTTAATTAAAACAAAAATTACACACAACACTTATATCTGAAGCGAAGATTCTCCTTAGCTGAACTTCTGTCTGGTCCAAACCCATGTCCATGCAATCAACAAATAAGGTAATTCCATTATTAGGTTGAGACAACTTTGAAAACATCATTAGAATCTTGATTCTTTGGCCAGTGTGCAGAGCTGGTGTTGGGAAGCCAAGCTGGTAGTCTCGACCGTCAACGTCGGTCAATGAGATAATTACTAGAAAGATTATACATTGTTTAGTCAAAATGAAATACAAAGCTTTTACCTAAATAATTTTGTTAAAAAATATAAAATGAGCTAATATTTATGTATCGTTTTCCGTAAGCTATTACGTCGCATCGTTATATTTTTACAAACTTTTAGTTTACACGATTCCTCTGTCCTTCGTCAGTTGTCGTATGTCTGTCTCAATCCTAGGGAGAGTGAAATTTCGGGCTCTTTTAACCGATCAATCAATTTCTCTGAAAATCGGCACGTTGGTCAAAACCCGTATTATAATATAATTAAAGAAAATAATTTATTTTCTCCTCTTTAGTGCTCTATTGCATAAAAGCTTGTTATTAAAACTTTTTTTGGAAGCTTTTATTTAACTTGCTTCCTCTTACATTCTGTCGAGAGTCTGTCGAGCGAAATTTCGGGCACTTAAAACTGACAGATTAGTTTCGATGTTTGCACGTCGATCAAGACATAAAGACAATGCAGTCTTACATTAAAAGGGTAGGCTCCGGGGAAAAAAACGTGAAAAAAACTTTTTAATTAATAATCTTTTTATTTATTTATTTGTGTATGTATAAGGAAAATATATGAGTGCTAAATGAATATATATAATTTTCAGACACAATTAGAATTTTTGTGAAGAGTGATACATTTTCTTTAATTTTGTTTAATGCACATGCCGTCAATTAACACCATAAGTTTGGAAAATGAAATTTGTTTTATAACACCTTCAATATTAATTTTTTAAATCATTTATTTAGATGACGAGCACTTTAGATATATAACATTATGGCGATCAAGTCTATTTTTTAAAATATTTTTTCTTGAAATCACGGAGCCGTACGCCCGATTTCCGCCACATTCAGAATTCAACTGTTTTGTTAGATTCGAGAAAGTTTAGGGGATATAACTATGCTGTTTAGTAATGCAACTCTATTGTAATTTATTTTTAAATTGAAAGTACTGAAAACAATTAAAATCGTTTTAATTACGAACTTTTATGTAATAATGCACTAACAATTAGAAAATAAATGATTTTCTTTAAATCCTATTATATAAAAAATTCATAAAAAACGTTTTAATAACAAGCTTTTATGTAATGATGCACTAAAAAGTAGAAAATAAATTATAGACTACTATTTAAATAACTATAAAGAAAAGCGTGGGTCACTTTAGTATCTATTGGATACCTTTACTAATGTTAAGGAAGACACCCACGCTTTTCTTTATAGTTATTTAAATAGTAGTCTATAATTTATTTTCTACTTTTTAGTGCATCATTACATAAAAGCTTGTTATTAAAACGTTTTTTATGAATTTTTTTTCAGTACTTTACATGTTTTATCTACAATAGAGTTACATGACTAAAAACCATTGCGCGCCTACTGAATATCACGTTCAGTAGGCGCGCAATGGTTTTTGAACGCAGCCATTACGTGGTCGTGATGGCGCAGCTATTGATGACGCGTGTGGTGTGGTTGGCTAGACATGCCTACTAATTCGGTCCAAATTTTAATTAATTCATAAAACATCAATTAGGCATCCAATTAAGTAAAATTTAGTTTCAGATTGCATTGTCTTCATGTCTTGACCCACGTGCCAACTGTGAATCGTGTCGGTCAAGTAGAACTGTCCGAATTTTCACTCCTGCGTTTCCGTCAAGACAGACAGAGGAAGTGAGTTAAATAAAAGCTTGTAATAAAAAGTCAATGTTTGCACCTCTCTCTCTCTCTCTCTCTCTCTCTCTCTCTCTCTCACACACACACACACTCTCTCTCTCTCTCTCTGTCCACATGTCCCGAGCAGTGTTTCTTCCAGACTTTTTTCTCGGGTGGGGGGACGAAGACACTGGTAAAAGTATATTATTTTCTACAAGCCGGCCCGCGGCATATCATACGCCGGTATTTAGTTGTTGTTTTTTCTACTTCTCAGTAATTCATAATTTGTGGATTCGACAGTACCAACGCTGCCACTGAAAATATTTGCTTTAAAACACTATAAGTAGCTCGTTAAGGACCATACCCCCCCTCCTTCCCCCCCTCCGTTAAAGTAAACTCCACTTCGTTATCTCCCCCCTACGTTTAAAATCGTTTCAAACTAAATTATCTGCCCCTAATAGTGGTAACTAAACCCGGCTCTGCTTGTAAACATTTAGCATGAACCACAGCTCACCAGACCATGCAGGGGTGGGGGTGGTAGGGAGCGCGCTTACAGCTTGTTTTTTAGCGTCTCCCAGAAGAGAATTATATATATACGAGCCGACCCGCGGCGTATCATACGCCGCTATTTAGTTGTTTTATTTTCTACTTTTCAGTAATTCATAATTTGTGAATTCAACAGTACCAACGCTGCCACTGAAAATATTTGCTTTAAAACACTAGCTCGTTAAGGACGATAACCCCCCCCCCTCCCCCTCAGTTAAAGTAAACTCCACTTAGTTACTTCCCCTAGGTATAAAATAGTTTTAAACTAAATTATCTGCCCCTAATAGCCGTCACTAAATCCGGCTCTACGATGTAAACATTTAGCGTGAGCTACAGCTCACCAGACCATGTGGGAGTGGTTGCGATATGCCTAGAGAGGAAAAGAGGGGACTGCTCGGCGCGCTTACAGCTTGTTTTCTAACGTCTCCCAGAAGAGAATTGTATATATATATATATAGATAGATAGATAGATAGATAGGAATTTCCATTTCATTCGGGAGGGCAGTAGACTTTCTTCGGGTGGGGGGGGGGGGGGGGGCGCAGCACCCCGGAAAGATGCCTGGAAGAAAAACTGGTTCCGAGCCTTAGAGATCAGTATCTGGAACAATATATGGAATACTCAAAGACACGGATTTATGTTGAAAATAGTTTGTTGGATGTTTTAAATATATAAACTTAATTTTATTCAAAGAAAGAACATAAAAATAAAGCAATCTTTGAATGTAGAAACATATTTTTCATTATGCAACCGGAAAAGTGTTTATGGTTGTGACAAGAACTCAATAAACAATGACGTCACATGCCACATGTATAAACTACACAAAGAACACAACACTAATAACGTCATCTTTCAATTTTTCAGATGAACTAAACCCCACTTCACTTTGTAAAAGTTTCCCTTTCAAACCTGACGGCCTATGGGGCAAGTGAAGTAGGGTTCTGTGACCTTGGCATATGAAGAGATAGTGTGGTCAGCACTATGCCCAGCCGCCTTTACTTTCCCTAACGTGAGTTTGGTACCCATCAGAGTTGGGTGGTCTCAGGGACGGTTTACTGACTTGAACCCGGATTCGAACTCGAGACTAACGGGTTAGCAGTCCAGCTCTCTACCGCTAGACCACTCCGGCCCTTACTTCACTTTGTATTGGAGTCTAATTTTTTTTTCTGATTTATTAGTTCAAATATTTTTGTCTTTTCTGACAAAGGATACTTTTAAAATTAATTAAAACCTATTTTTCTAAACTTTTTAGAATAGCTGAATATTTTTATCTGTTAAATGTAAAAGGTCACGTAATCGTACATTTGGTCGCCAGTGTCAACAATATATGGGTAGGCATAACTAAATAGTACATGATGTGTAGCTTGAAATACTTTACATTACCAAAAAAATAGATTTTTAGTGTGTTCTTTAGTTTCAATTTTAACAAGATGTTATGATAATGCCTCCAACTCTTACCTAGAATTGGAAGGGGGGGGGGGGGGGTAAGCGAGATCTTTACTACAGTTGTAGTTGTAACAATGTCCATATATATTAATGATCAGTGCACGAGTGCAGATATATTTAAACTTTGCAGTCAGCTTGGAAATAAACCCTTATTAGATTCCTTTAAAAGAATATAGCCCTTGTCTACGAAAAAAACATTGTTAAGTCCTCTAAATTATGTTGACCGTTTATGGTGGCTATTCATTACATATTTACAGGTTATAGTTGTAAAGAACGACTGTTAAGACACTAAGGGTAAGAATTTAGCCTATATAGTTGTATTTAATAAGCAAGTGTATTTTGGTGTCGCCCTACCATATCGCAATAATTGTGGAACCAGCTAAGTATAAATACATATTTATAAAATAAAGATAAATTGACTGAGGCACTCTAAATAAATGTTCTTACTTTTAAATGTACTACTGGTTCAAGAGACTAATAATTATTTCAACAAAAATATTTTCTTTATGCACTGTTCCAGCCACCATTGGACCGCATATAAATAAATCGTATCGTACCTGATACGAGCTATGGTTATTCTATATTTCTATGTACCCAGATCTACTGTAGGTGCCATAATTTATTTATTTTCATTTTTTTTTTAAAAGACGCATTTTAGACATATTGTGAACCCCTGCACTCTTCTGATCAAACGTGTGTTTCAAACGTACTTGTTATAGGCATAAATGTTCCACGACATTTGTATTTACTTATCAAGTATTCTCTTTAACCAGACACTTTTTGGTGATGTTTTAAAAATGTAGAAAATTTGTGTTTTTTACTTCGCTTTTTAATTGTATCAAAAAGTGAGGAAAGTCAATTTAAAGCCAATTTATTTAAATGATGTACTTATTTTTGAAGTTTGAAAACAATGATTCTGTTTTCTGTATGTGTGTTTGTGATGAGTTCAAAAGATTGTGTTTGTGACATATAATTTTACAGATATAACCTCTCAAACATGGCACCTTTTAGGGTGTTGGAAAAAAAACCTTTTCAAACGTCATAACTTTTTTACTACTTGAGATATATGAACAAAATTAGTACCCACTATCTTATAGCAGCTTTAAAAATAGATCTGAGGCCGTTTTAAAAATCAGTTTGACACCCCTACTAATATCGTTCAACGTGTAGTAAAGCACATTGCGTTTTGACCAATAACTATTTTATAAATATTTTTTTCAAAAAAGAATAACATTAAAATACATAGGTCTATAATTCACGTGTAACGGTTACCCGACAGCTAGTATAATGATATAACAATACAATACTATAGTTATTTGAATAACAACTGTAAAGAAGAGTGTAATATATTGAGCTTTATATTGAGGGGAACTCACTCTTCTTGTATTAGTCTTATAATGTTTGAGTGATGTCCCTTGCATGTAATGTTCCGTTTCCGATTCAGAATAAAAACAAGGTACATAGAAAATGGCTTCCTCGTCTGTTGTATTATCTGTCTAGATAACAAATCCACAACGTGAATCTCTTCCTAAATATTAGCCAAGGTATCCAATAGAAAATAATATAGTTATTTAAATAGAAGTGTATTATTAAATATTTACAGAAAATCATTTATTTTTATCCCTTTTAGTGCATTATTACATAAAAGCCAGTTATTTAAACGTTTTTTTTTATTAATTTAAAAAAAATAAAGTTTGTTTATGGATTGTGGCAAATAATGTAACTCAATTTTAACCCACTTGTAATACAACTATTTCATTTAAACTTTCGAGATTATTCTCTGATGAAAAAAAGGATAGATAACAAGATTAATACTGGCGGTCGCTCTACTAACTGGCCATCGACGGTGAATTGTTTGGTTACGGTTGGCTGATTTCTTTCCTCGGAGCCTACCATTAGAGATAGCAAGCTGTTGATAGGGTTTTAAGGCAAATTTTTTTTTCGTATGTGCAGTCGACGTCATTAACAGCGAATTACTAAAAAAAATTAACAGAAGAAAATAAAACAAATTTAGAAAATTAATAACAAAAAGCTTTTAAATGCACTAATATAAGATAGTATAACCAATGTACTTACTTAAATAAAAACATCTGCTGCTAAAATGTGTATGTGGGTCTAATGAGCTACCATAGCTTGCAAAAAAGATTTTTATTTTTTTATTTGTATAATCGTTTTTTAGTTCACCACGTCTGATTGTTTGTTTTGTTTGTTTGTGATATGTGGTAAATCTTGTAATATAATTTGAGCCACTTATGTGGTTTTAATTTTTAAAAAAAAGCAGGTTTGTTTTTGTTTTCTTATCTTATTCCATTTAAAAGCCTATTAGTTATAAGATTTTTACTTTCTCGTATATACGAAGTATAGAGAAACTATTGTAATCGTGCACAAAAATCAACTGAAATTTTAACAATTTTCACCGTATTACACCTCAGTCCTTCATCACATCCGAAGTATAGAGGACTTATTTTAATCGGGCAAAAATTATCAATCCAGATTTATCAAAATTAAGAGGTTTTATGCGTAATCCAGTCTGAAAAACTGGGCTTTGCAATTCTGTCCGTATGTCTGTGTGTCTGTGTGTGTGTGTGTGTGTGTCTGTGCGTGTGTAAACACGATAACTCGAGTACCGTTACAGCTAGGTTGATGAAATTTCACATATAAGTATTTTATCAAAATCGTAGATCCGTATCAACTTTTGGGCGATTTCCGATAACCGAAAGTGGTACTTTTTCTACTTTGAATTTTTCAAAAACCTATAACTTGAGTACTATTTCAGATAGATAAATGAAATTTCACATGTAAGTAAAAGATCTAATTTTCTACCTTCTGTTAAATTTTGAGTAATTTCCGTTGAACGGAAGTAGTAATTTACGCTACCTCCGATTTCTCAAAAAAACTAATGCAAATTTTTAAAGAACTAATAATATTGCGCACTATTATGCACTTTTTAGCGCTATTTCAAAAAAAGAAAAATTGCGTTTGATAATGCGTCATTTCTGGATGGATGTATGGATGTGTGGATGTGTGGATGTGTGTCCGCAGCCTTTAAGTCGTATCTCCTCCTCAACGAAGCAATATCGAGGACTAGTTCCAAAGCAAATATGTTAAGCAAGTTCCAAGGATGATTGTGGGCCAAAAAAATTCCCGGAATTCCTTCCTGGATTTCCCCGAAAAGCCAAAAAACCTCGAACAAATGCACTTTTTGCTCCATATCTCGGCAACCAGACCACTTAGCGACTTGAAACATTTACCAATCGATCCTGCTATAATTTAGACCAATATTGCCGAAGAAAGTTTTCAAAAATATCCTTTCGTTCGGTCACAAAAAATTAATTAAGAACATTTAAACTGAGCAGCGTGTAGGTTTTTAGCGCAAAGCTGAGGTTCGAAAGGATTTTACCATAGCGAATAAGCGGAGGTTCGAAAGGATTTTTTTTTCGACTGATACGGGAGGCTAGCCTATCGCAACGTGGGATCGTTCGCGTCACTGCGCGCGGCGCGGCCAGAGAGAGAGAGAGAGAGAGAGAGGCGAGCTACGCGTCGCTCGTTTTTTTCCACGTGCTAATGTTTGCAAACAAGAGGGCGGGTTTTAATCAGAGTCAAATACTGATATAAACGTTTTAATATTTGGGCACCGTTGCTGAATATATGATTTATCTCGATTTAAAATTGTTATGGATAACATAAGGAAATTGCGCTTAAATTGTCACTAGACTTTTTATTAACTTATTTGGCGTTCACTTGGTGTGTAATTCTTTTGTCTACGAGATTTTATTCTATTTCTAAAGCTTTAAGTATTTAAAATGAATTAAAAATCATGTCTATAGCCCGAGTTCCCATCCCCTGTTGTTTTATATAAGAATATTCGAGAAAGTTTAGGGGAGATCACTCCCGGTTTATTTACTTTTCGTTTTATTTCTATTTAGTACCCATATAAAAGCCGTATAATCTTTATATATATATATATATATATATATATATATATATATATATATATATATATATATATATATATATATATTAACTAATGTTATATCCAAATTAACGTTATGCAACTAACCTTGCGGTTGTTTGAAATCAACACTCAACTCAAATTTAGTTCTTGCAGTCTCTCCTTCTCCACGCACCATGGTGAAGGATCTTCGAGGATTACGTGGTGTCCTAAAGTCTCCAACCAAGTAAACTTCATCATATGTAGCGAAGACCAAACTAGCGTTTGCTGTTTCAACTAAGGCGTGAATTAAAATAATAAAATTAAAAACAAAAACAAGCTTTAGTTAATGTGCACTTTAAAACAGAATCAATGACACTCATTTATGATCAGTGGCGTCGCTAGCTCGGGTGTCACCTGGTGCGACACTTCGTTGTGTTACCCACACCCTCAAATGAAAAGCCTAAAGGGTATATATATATATATATATATATATATATATATATATATATATATATATATATATATATATATATATATATATATATATATATATATATATAAAGCAATGTATGTTTGTGTGTGTGTGTGTGTGTCTGTTTTGTTTCAAATTCGGAGGGGTGGCGCCCCAGCAGGGCGCCATTTGTTTTTTCCCTATTTGCGGTATATAAAAATATACAAATAAAAAACGATTTTGGTTTGACAGCGTTCATCCGATCGCCATCAAACTTTGGTGAGTTCATTAGAACACTCCGGGGAAGGGTTCTGTATTTAATTTCGCATGGCGGCGCCACGGGAGGATGCGACTTTTCTCTATGTACGGTAATTAAAAATTAAAGTCGATTTTGGTTTGACACCGTTCACCCGATAGCCATGAGACTTTAGGGAGTTGATTAGAACATCCTGGGACAGGGTTCTGTAAAAAAAATCAGTTTTAGTTTCGCAAGGGCGGCGCCACGGGAGGGTGCGATTTTTCACTATACACGGGAGGGGGCGATTTTTCTGTATGTACGGTATATAAAAAATAAAAGTCAGATTCGGTTCGACACCTGGGGCGGAACTACAGTGCCGCCAAACCCCGCAATGTGGGGGGGGGGGGGCAGGCCATTTTGGGGCCCAAAGCCGACCAGAATCAACTTTTTTATAGTTAAAAAAATATTTTTTTTTTGCAAAAAAAAACAAAACAACAAAGAAACAGATCTACTACAGTAGTGATGTTCTACAGTAGCTAACATCGCTGTTTCATAAAGGAAAAACATATATAGCTACATGAGTTGTAGTGTGAAAGATAGGCAAACGTTCAAACCACTTCCATGACTTATTTCCCTTTTTAAATAGTCAAATATGTGTGCTCTTAATTAATTAAATTTTTTCACTAAACAAATTAAAAAGCAATTACTTCTCTCAATTATTTTTTTTTAATTACTTAATAAAGAATGACATAGTATGAAAGGAAATGTATTAAAAACCTAATAATAAAAATTTAAAAAAAAACTTAAAAATAAACATAAGGCGAGAAACCATTACACATACAAAGCTTTCATGCTTCATAATATTTTGACCGCCTTGAATATTAGTGAGCATCATGTCAGACATTGAAACAGAGAATTTCAAAACAGACTGATAGCACTCACATAAATGATGTGTTGTTTTAAAATGTTTTAATTAAAAATAAAAACTATGAATTATGATTTGTTTTAAATTTCGAACAAGCCCGTATTGAGTATTCTATGTTGATATTTTCGTATTTAGGTTATATATATATATATATATATATATATATATATATATATATATATATATATATATATATATATATATATATATATGGGGCCAAAAACATTTTTGTGGGGTGGCCCTTTTTTCTAGTTCCGCCACTGTTCGACACCTTTCATCCGTGTGCCATGGAACTTTAGATAGTTGATGAGAATACTCCCGAAAGGTTTCTGTGAACAAAATAATGAAAATATGATATGGGTGACGCCTGCAATGGTGGGATTTTCGTCAATACACCATTTTGGCGCCAAGAGTTCCAGAGCGGCTATGTTAGCACGTGGCATCTGTTAATCGTGCCCCCTGCATAGCGGGTAAGGGGTACTATTGAAGTCAGCGTAAAAACTTTAAGAGGCGCAACCGTCAGCGCCCCGTAGATTGCACGACCCGAGGCACCCCAGGCTCCCCTGCGAACACTATGGCGCCTACGTTTATTTAAAAAAAGACTATACACTAAAGACACGATGGGCAAGAATAATCATTGACTATATCGAACCAGGCGCGTCCCTTGGCGCCCCTGCAGGGTTCAATTTGGCGCCCTAGGCTTTTCCGTGAGCGCAATGGCACCTACGATGTTCTAAACAGTGCGTTAGACAATGGATAAGATGGGTCATTACAGTCGCTCACTAAATTGAATCAGGCGTGACAGCCGGCGCCCTGGTAGGGTGCGATTTGGCTGCAAACAAAAAATTCAGTTTCGAGCTGCTGAGGGTCCTGTAATAGTTTTTTTTTCAATAATAAGGAAAATTAACCAAGGTTAGATTATTTACACTGGGTTGTTTCCTTTTGCCCGTACAAAATCCAAACATTTCCAAAGCCTACAGTTCTCAAAATAATGAAACTATTTCGGTAAAAAATTAAGTTTAGAAGGGCAACTCAAAAAATAAAAGTCACACTTCTAAAAATAACATTGTTACGCGTGGAAATCCTTCTGTACAGTTTCGTCACTTTGCGAATGATGAAATTAGCAACTAACTTTAAACGATCCAATTATAAATTGAGATCGAGCTTCTAATAATACATCATTAGTAACGCTAAAAATTGCATCCGCCACACCGATGTTTATAACACGTCAAATCTTTTTTTCTACGTGTTAAAGAAAAAATCCTGTTGATTTGTGTCACTTAAGCAATCGACGCAATCTGCATCATTGTTTCCTGATGCTATTTGGCGCTCTGGAATATTCTGTGAGCACAATGGCGCCTATGTTAGTTGTAGCCAGGGGCCGTACGCGACGCCTCTGCGTTAGTGTAATCAGCGGCTCCCGAGAGCGCCCCTCTATACATGGGCGGTCACCGAAGTGTGTTCTACCTTATTATTTTGGTGAGTGATTAAAGTTAGGTTTTCATGCGGTAGTGAACATAGGATTGGTAACACATGGATGAAACCCTTCTTAAATATTCCGTCTGACTTACTTATATTCCCGCAGCAACGCGCGGGGACGGTTACGCTAGTATGTATGTATATATATATATATATATATATATATATATATATATATATATATATATATATATATATATATATATATATATATATATATATGTATATATATATATATGTATATATATATATATATATATATATATATATATATATATATATATATATATATATATATATATATATATATATATATATATATATATATATATTGTTACGACCCCCTTCTCTAATCCCTTCGTATTAGTCAGGGAATCGTAAACAAGAAGAAGAAAATAAAAATAGATACACGCCAACATCAGTGATCTCTATTTAAAGCCACAAAATACAACACCTAACATTAACCCGCCACCACATGGAACACAAAGAGAAAATATACACAACTATCTACAACAACTAAAGTCCTCAGTCCGACTAATCTACTTGTCCCTAACTGTCTAGCCTAGCCTAGGTCTAATACATGTTGTGGCTTTCCACTAGCTCACAGAGACGACCCATGTCTGTCTCCTCTAAACCTAGCTATCCGAGTCGAATCCGCGTGTGTCTTATGAGTGTCCGTGAGTGTTCCCAGTCTGCCGTCTACCCCTCCTAAAATAGTCCAGTCGAGGTGCAGGGGATGGATGGATGGATGGATGGATGGATGGATGGATGGATGGATGGATGGATGGATGGATGGATGGATGGATGGATGGATGGATGGATGGATGGATGGATGGATGGATGGATGGATGGATGGATGGGCGGGCGGGCGGGCGGGCGGGCGGGCGGGCGGGCGGGCGGGCGGGCGGGCGGGCGGGCGGACGGACGGACGGACGGACGGACGGACGGACGGACGGACGGACGGACGGACGGACGGACGGACGGACGGACAGACAGACAGACAGACAGACAGACAGACAGACAGACAGACAGACAGACAGACAGACAGACAGACAGACAGACAGACAGACAGATAGATAGATAGATAGATAGATACTAGCTGTGTGTCGTTGCTTCGCTATGATGTAAAATAAATTGAAAGTAGTACTCTGAAGAAATAAGAAAAACTCTAAACAAAAAACAAACAAAATAATCACTCAATGCAACCAAAAACAATTAACGCAACATAATCTGTTTTGTAATCCTTGTAAAAAAACAATTTGACATAATGATTTTTAGAATATTAACTTAAGACAAGCGAACTAGGGAAAACAATCACTCTCTTAATATAACTATGTATATTCCTACCGATTTAATTGTAAAAGTCAAAACAGATCAATAATTACTTTAGTTTAGTTGCTTAACACTATTCGTGTTACAAAAGTATGTTGTCTATATAAATATATTGTTATCATAAATGCTAAAGTATTACAGCATAATGAAAGTTTTTGAAATCAGAGTTGGTATAAAATCAAACTTTTCTAGTTAAATGATAACCTAAAACTAATAAGTGGAACATTCTGAGAATAGCTTCAATATAACTAAGTTATTGGTCTTGCAGTTCTGATCACTCATTTTTATAATTAGCTACTGTTTTTAGCTTAATTTCCATTCTGGAGAATTGGGTTTATTAACTCGTCTTTTCTGGGAATGGGTGTGTGTTCGCAGCTTTAAGTCGTATCTCCTCCTCAACGAAGCAATATCGAGGACTAGTTCCAATAGCAAATATGTTAACGAAGTTCCGACGATGATAGTGGGCCAAAAAAATCCCGGAATTCCTTCCTGGATTTCCCACAGGGGCGGAACTACAGTGCCGCCAGACCCCGCAATGCGGGGGGGCCCAGACCAATTGGGGGCCCAAAAATCCTGGCTAAATTATTTTTAAAAAAAAATAGGTGGAGGTCGAGTTATCTTTCTTCTACAGTTACAAACAAACACGATAGTCGGCAAGCGTCTTTGAGAAAAATGCACAGACTATAGCTCGAGAGACCGCCAGACATATAGACAACTTCAAAGACGTAGCATCTGAAATTTGACTGTGCCGGTACGCTTTGAAATCGGGCTGGGGAAATGTTGCGGCGAGGCGACTATCCTGGTCTTCTAGACGATCGGAAAAAGTCGGCACTATTGATGTAGATGTTTATCGGCGCTTTCTTGTGCCC